AATTCCATTTCTAGAAATTTACCCGAGATATCAGATAAGTACACAAAGATGCAAGTTTAAGGATATTTGTTATGGTTTTGTTTAACAGGAAATTCTGGAAACAAATGTCAATAAAAACTAAATATAACTAAAAATTGGTTACATAAATTATGGTATAGGGGAAAGTTCTAGTGGCTTGAGCGGATGGGTGGCAGGAGGAACCATTATGAGACTGAAGCTGACGATTAAACCTGAACAGGAGCAAGATTACAACCTCCCAAAAGCACCGAGACTTTGTGGCAGAGTCCGTGGGGGAAAAGCCAGGAGGAAGCCTGGCTGGGATTGGTGAAGTTATGGACAAGAAGCTGCAGGAAAGGGGCTTTGACAAGGCCTATGTTGTCCTTGGCCAGTTTCTGGTGCTAAAGATGAAGACCTCCTCCGAGAATGGCTGAGGGACACTGGTGATGCCAATGCCAAGCAGTACCAGGATTGCTTCGGATGCCTTCGAGAGTGGTGTGACGTCTTCTTGTGGTGCTTTCTGGGAAGCCCTCAATCCCCAGCCCTCAACCGGAGTTTGCAACCGAGTAGAGACTCCTCCCCTGTCCTCAACAAAGGAAAAGACTGCTATTGTCCTACTCACCTACAATGTACTCCAGGGTCTTTTGGGAGTTTTCTCTCCTAACTATTTTAACTTTTTTGGATTCTCGCTCTTGCATGCCTCCTGTCTTCCTTTTTCCCCTGCCAGTTCCCTGGGGACAGTTACCAGCTTTCCTAAATGGATTCCTGGCCCTGTCCCTCACCCCCACCCTTACTTTCAGTCCATTTGATACCATTTGGCTCCTTTTTTGACAGAAAAGTCACTGTCCTTGTAAAGTTTTTTAGATCAATGAAGTCAGTGGCTTTCAAAAAAAAAAAAAAAAAAATTATGGTACAGGGCAGGGCGCGGTGGCTCACGCCTGTAATCCCAACGCTTGGGGAGGCCAAAGTGGGTGGATCACCTGAGATCAGGAGTTCGAGACCAGCCTGGCCAACATGGTGACACTCCATCTCTAGTAAAAATACAAAATTTAGCAGGGCTTGGAGGCTTGGACTTGTAATCCCAGCTACAAGGGAGGCTGAGACAGGAGAATCACTTGCAACCCAGGAGGCGGAGGTTGCAGTGAATCAAGATCGTGCCACTGCTCTGCAGCCTGGGCAACAGAACCAGACTCCGCTTCAAAATAAATTATGGCATATACAATAGGATAAAAACAGTCAAAAGAAAATTCTGTCTCTAACAGAATTTAGAGACAGAGGTGCTAAATAGCACCTCAGTACACTGTAGTACTGAGTGCTAGGCATCAATCATATATTAACTCATTAAACTCTGACAACGATCTTATGAGACTGGTATTACTAATATTCCCCCATTTAAAAAATGGAGAAACTGTAATTTACCTAAGACCATTGGATAAATTGTTTTTAATGAATCTGAACTTAAGTAGTCTGGCTCCAATGTCCACATGCTTTTAACCATTACATATGTTTAGTGACATGGAAAGATATTAATGATATACTAAATGAAAAAGAGTATTGTTCAACAGCATTTTTTGAAAGAAAATAAATTTATGTGCATCCTTTCGCACTGTTCTTCTGGATTTTCTCTCACTTTCCCATCTTATCTCAAACCCAGATTAAAAATATACATACATACATACATATGTGTATAGGTAGGTAATGCATACTTATATAACCATAGACCAAAGCATGGGATAAAGGCTTTATACCAAGTTTTTATTATGGTTATCCCTGGGAATGGGATTATGATTGGGCCTTATTTATCTCTGTAGTGTTTGCATATACACGTAGGACACGAAACGAGCATATAATACTTTGGGAAGGCCAGAGAAAAACACTCTGCCATTTGCTTTTAACCACGGTCAGCAAACAAAAAACCTATTCTGACTGAAAAATTTCTGTGCCCAATATGAAGTGACTAAGATCAATTCTGACTTATCATCTCCAGTCTATTAAATCTATTGAATGTATTCTATGACTACCTAATGTTTCATATAAGTAAATAAATTAGATTTGGAGGAATATATCTGAACTACCTACTGGACACAAAATGATTTCATGATGCTGCCTAGTATTGTGAATCATTCTTTTAGCTCAGTAGCTTTCTAGCTACCTGATAGGCTATTACTAACCAAAAAGAAGCTGATCCTGTTCAGAAAGTAGGTGTCTTTAAAACCAAACTGAGCAACAGAGAATTCATCCTATATCTATCCCATTCAAAAACATTATAAATCCAATTTTCCCACTACTGAGACAAAAGTCTTTAGGTGGTCTTGGGCTTTGATCTCTCAATCATCAACTAGGGGCTGGGGGAAGAATTAGATGTTTTTCTCTGGCTAATACCATTACTCTTCCACAAATAACACCTAGACATTTAATGTATGTTAATGAGATAATCTGTTAGTACTTAACACAGAGTATAAATGTTCAAGAAATGTTAGGTCTGTCCCCTCATCACAAGAAATGCTTACAATACAGAGATATCTGAAGTCTCTCTGTAGCTATACTGAAAATTCGTTAGGCTCAATTCATAAGCACTTTGAAGGCCAGGCTCATTGGCTCACACCTATAATCCCAGTGCTTTGGGAGGCCAAGGCAGGAGGACTGCTTGAGTCCAGGAATTTGAGACCAGCCTGGGCAACATAGTGAGACCCCTGTCGCTACAAAATTTTTAAAATTAGCTGGGCATGGTGGCATCTACCTGTAACTCTAGCTCCTCAAGAGGCTGAGGTGGGAGGATCACTTGAGCCCAGGAAGTTGAGGCTGCAGTAAGCTATCAGCATGCCACTGTACTCTAGCCTAGGCAACAGAGTGAGCAGAATGAGACACTGTCTCAAAAAGCAAAAAACAAAACAAAACAACAACAACAAACCCCAGCAATTTGAAGTTCTGCAAAGCTTTAAATTTTGATATAAACAAATACATATAATTTTTCTGGTATACTATACTAGTTTGGGTATGCTTTTTTCCAAGTGGTGGCAATAGATGATTAAAGTACACTTCAGTTTAGTCCCATATATACTTTGTCTATGGGGGGGGGGTCAGCTTCAGGATTCATATAAGGAAGTTACATAAATATAGGGCACTAGTGATGAGAGGGCTCTTTTTATCTTCTCTAACTAGTAAAATTATCTAAGATGATGCTAGAAGAGTGCCCATGTATTGCTAAAGAAGACAGAAAAAGCCTTCCTGCCCAGTGGCCAGAGAATGTCCTCTGTAGAGGTCTTGTCTGGGTTAACGTGGACAAAATAAATGAAAATAATATGAACAAGTCAACATGTCAATCAAGAAGATAACTTACTAATGTATATAGTATTAAGTTGACACAGGGTATAGGTCTGATATCCAGAGAGGTAGTCCTGGGTTACTCAAAAGACAGATTAAACATGCAGTGAAAGCACTGGTAAAGATGAGTCACCAAAAATATGAGGAAAGGCATTTTGGGAAAGACATAATATCTGAGAGTTTAAAAAATTAGATATAATATGAGAAATCAGAACTTTCTTGGACCTCCTTATACTTACTTTATGTTTTAATATTGTTTTTAGTCTGAATAACATATACTTTCAATGCTTAGGCATTCTAAAAGTCTTATTCCAGCCCTGTTGAGAGGACATGTTGGAAAGTTTTGGCTTGGATTTGTTTTAATAAAAGAAAAAAAATTAGAGGTCAAAACCCATGACTTCATTAAAGGACACAGCAAATATGTTTGTGTCATTTTATTTAAAATATTTTTCTATTTTCTAAATAGCTTTGGCATAAAAAATATATAAACACAAATGATTTAATTTTAAAAAGTGCATTTTATGAACTTCACAAAGAGTAAATGTGTAATGGAATAAGAGATGAGGAACAGAAACCCACTTACTGAGTTGCAGAGGGCCTGTACTATTTCATGTCTTTGTTTAAAATCAAGGCTATGTTAATGATTAGGTATGGTTAAGGCTCTCCTAACATATCAAGAGGTCCTCCTATGATACCATGTCACTATCTTTTGAGGGATTTAGAAGAATGATAAGGGATCTAGGAACATATTCTGAGTCACCTTGTAAAGAACAATAATAATGACAGCTAACATTTACTAGGCAGTAAAATGTTCTAGATACTACATTAAGGACTTCTTTGATCATCTCAATTCTTTGAACAATCTCATATATTAATTTCTATTATTATCTCAAAACTCAGACTCTACGCACTTAGAATAATTTGCCTAAGGTCATGCGGTAGGGCTGAAATTAGAAGCAAATCTGTTGGAGTCCAGGTCTGCCATTTTAACCACCATGTTATACTGAGGAAAGGGTAAGCCTGTGCCTTTGAGGCAATTATCACCTTTAATATCAGAATGTCTTCTTTGACTGAAGGACAAAAACCAGCTGGGTTATTTTCACCAACTCTGCAGCAAATGTCTTGCAGTTACCACATTATTAAAGCTGTATGATATGTTGACATAAAATCCAACAAGGTAATTACAATAGAATTCTAAAGTGTTTTATAAATTTCTAACTATCATAGAAAGAACTGCAAATTGAAATGTAGTAGTTCCTGTTTTAGTCAGCATATTATGGAAACTTTAATAATTCAATTACATGTTTAGGTACCTCCAGAGATGTTACAGTAAAAAGTGTTTTAAGAAAAAAGAAGGCATCATTCTGACAGAAAACAATTTTTAACTTTTTCTCTTATATCATCCAACTCATGATAAAAAGATATTTTATGTTACTGGAAAAAACACTAAAATAGTACCATTAAATACATAGATTATAAGAAAAAAAAAAAGACTCCAAATAAACAACAACAGAAAAGAATGAGAGGAGGGAAAAGGATCAGAGTTTCTCAGAGAAGTCATCTTTTCTTGTGTGTCTGATAAACTAAAATGATTCAAAGACTGTAAATTGAATTATTCCAGTCCCAAGTGCAAAGAGGTAAGAGAATTTGGTAACTTAAGATTAAAAAAAAAGACTTACCTTTAGGAGAGCCAAAGCTACATGAAAGATTATGTTCAAACCCTGAAATAGAAAAAGAAAGTGAAAATTAGTAGTGCCACATATATCACGATTTTATTATTTCCCCAAGACTTCCATATATCTTTAATAAAATTCCTAATTGCTTTCATCTTCACAAACAATAACTAAACTATGAGATTTTTTTTTTAAGGCATTTTCTTTCCCTGAGTGGCTTGTTGTAAATTTTAGGTGCTATTTAATCAATGTTCACGTAAAATTGTTTTTACAATAAGTTATTTCCCTTCAGTCAATTTCTGGATTATTTGCATGTGCCTAAGTCTTATGAAAATCAAATTCCTTGCTCAAGCTGGCATAATGATGCAGAAGTCTAAAATTATTAATTGAAATTCCTAACCCCAATCTAGACATCTCGGTGTTACAGTTAAACTACAAGTAGCAGACAGAATAAAATAAAACAAAACAAGGCAATGTTGCCGATAAGTGGGACAGATTGTGTACTGGAGGCTTTAAGTATCACACTGCATTTCCACTACTGTTCTTACTGTTTTCTTATTTGTTTTAGTGATTGCTTTCAAGTATTATTCGTATAACTAGAGGTGGTCATTAGGGGCTATCTGCCAGACTTCCTTTTCTTTTCTGGAAACCATAGCAATATTTCTTTAGAAATAAACAAATTAAATTGTTCTTGAAGAAGCCATTCTAGAACTGAATTTTGAACTCTGGGTTCTGACCAATTGCTCTGAAGAGATGTTGAGTTATTAAATTCAAAAGATAGAGAATCTTATATGATAAAGATAACAATCAGAAATAAGTTTGCTACAAAATGTGCTGTTTCCTTGCCATGCAAGTCATCATACATAAGAAAAAAGATATTTCAAGTATGAGTTGGCATAAGTCCCGTAAGTCCAGGGTCTATTTCATGTGCCCTCTTCATCGTGGTCACTGATACACTCTGGCTAGCTTTTGGATATGGAGCTGTACCAAATGTACTACCCAAAAAGCTTACAATAAACCATGTTTTTTCTGTTTCTGAAATAACTCCAGAAGCAAGGATTAGGCCCAGATATTTAGAGTGTATTCCTGTTATGATTTGCTAACATAACCTTTCACATTCAGCTACCAGAAATATGACATAATGATGGAAGGAATGAATGATAAACACAAATATTCAGTTGGTTAAAATATAAACCAAATATTTTTAGTTTGGGGTTTACTCAGTTAATTCTTTAAGAAACCAAAAGAAGTAGGAAATAAGTATAATCAGGCCAGGAGATAAAAACAAATGAACGCAGTTCATAACCATACTAAGCAATTATCCTAGACTGGTTTTGATCACAATTTACCAACTAGAGAAAAGAAAGACTATTACAGATTTTAAAATGTGGGTTACAATTGAGCAAAATTTGCTTTCTGAATCAAAATTTCACTTCTTACCCACTAGCTGCTGCCCACCTGCCAAAACTTAAAGGCCAATATAAAAGAGACCTACTGCCCTGTTCTCCAACTCTGTCCACCACCACCACATCACAACTGCTAGGCAACAGTGAATTCTCACAACCTGAGTGCTTATCAGCTTGCCATCAGAACCTGATCCACTATTTCTCTGGTTCTTGTTTTTCCAGGCACTGCTCAAAATGTAAACCCCTCTCATCTCTGTTTTCTCATCTTCATAATGCTCTGGTCCTTTATCCTAAGCCAGTTTCCTCCTACTCCTCTCCTTCCCAAATCCTTTCATGGTAGCCTTTGGAAACTCCACTCCATGTTCAGCTACCTTGGCTGTATTCTTAACCTCCCTGTCAAACATTCCCCCCAAATTCCTTATATTCACAGGAATAGTGAAATTTCATTGATTCTTATAACAACTTATAAAATGATTGTCATTTTTTAGAGTATGAATGTGACTAGCCCAATATTATCATGTGAAAACCAAAAAGAAAATTCTAAGCCCTCCAACTGACTAAATGGAGGACCAAAGGGACCCAACTAAACCTGAAAACATAGTTCAGAACATGATAGGAAGGCGGAATCAGGCATGCCTCATTATACCCTCCTCCCTTTGGAGTTCAGGCACACAACTAACCAGCATTAACATTAAAAGAGAGATCCTAAGACAGACAGAAAAGACCCTGTAGCAATAAGATACCAAATTCCAACCTGACTCTAAGTATAGCATCACATGGCAGATAGCAGGGCCCTGAAAGAAACCAAACTATTTTATCCCAAAATAGATTCTTTAACATATTTTGAAATGGTTCTAAAAAGCTGTCTCTTGTGGGGAAAATTTGCATTCTATAGAGGATTCCCTTCTCTTTCCAGGTCATTTTATGATCCTGAAGACAGATTGGCTGAGAGTCTAGAACCTTTTAAGGATCTCTAAAGGAAACATTTGCCATTTATTGCCTCTGGGAGTGGTTACCTAGGAGACTTCATACACATAATAAGAACCCCAGTCTTTACAACTCCTTATCTTAACCCAGACACTCCTTTCTATTGATTCCAGGTTTTTAGATAATAACAACTCTTTCAACCAATTGCCAATCAGGAAATCTTTGCCAACCTGGGCAACAAAGTGAGACCCCCTCTCTACAAGAAAGTAAAAAAAAAAATTAGCCAGGTGTGGTGGTGCACACCTGTGGTCTCAGCTTCATGGGAGGCTGAGGCAGGAGGAATGCTTGAACTGAGAGGGTGAGCTGCAGTGAGTCAAGATCACACCATTGCACACCAGCCTAGATGACAGAGCAAGATCCTGTCTCAAAAAACAAACAAAGAAAAAGAAAAGAAAAGAAAAGAAAAGAAAAGAAAAGAAAAGAAAAGAAAAGAAAA